AAGAAGAAGAAGAAGAAGAAGAAGAAGAAGAAGAAGAAGAAGAAGAAGAAGAAAAAGAAGAAGAAGAAGATTATGATGATGATGATGATGATGATGATGATGATGATGATGATGATGATGATTTTTATTATTATCATCGATTTTTGGGCTACTAGAGAGTCTTTAACGTGTGCAGCGTGCACACGGGACCTCCGAGATTTGTTGCCCTTTTCCGAAAAGGCTAGGTGTTAGGTTTCAACCTACTCTATGAGTACGGGTGTTGCTGAAAGACAGCAGTAAGATGGAGCCAAGGAGTAGCAATAGAAAAGTGTCAGGAGCTCAGAGGAGGGGAGAAAGAGGAGAAGCAGAAAGAGGAGATGAAAGAATGATAGAACATGGTTAAAGAGTAGGGAAGGCGATGAAAGGAGAACATTTTAGAGAGAAAATTTCCGTTGCTATCGGGTTTCGAACCCGGAACCTATTGAATGAGAGGTGAACACCGTACCTATAGACCCGCGAGAGTCCTCCTTACCACTGTCTAGCAGTATTACGTGATTGGCCCATGTGAAAAGGTATCCATGAGAAAAAGTAGATTATGTACTTCCAATACTATTTTATGATAGAAATTTTGTTCAACAACACGAAAGGATTTTAAAATGTTATTGATATGTATGTCATTTATAATTTATGCTGTTTTCTCGGAAGTCGCTTTTGTAAAATGTGCATGTTTATGTAATGTGGATTAATGGCCTTAAAAACCAAATTAACTCCTACCTGTCTACCTACCCACTCACCTACCTATCTACTCACCTGCCCTACTTACCCACCCACCGACCTACCTACCTACCTACCCAATCATCAGCCTACTTACCCACCCATGTACCTACCTAACTACCTGTCTAACTACGTACCTAACTACTAACCCACCTGCCTACTTACCCACCGGCCTACCTACCCAATCACCTGCCTACTTACCCACCCACATACCTACCTAACCACCTACCTACCTACTTACCTATCCACCCACTCACCTACCCACCTACCTACCTACCTACTCTCGTGCCCAACTTACCCACCTGCCTACTTACCCACCCACCTACCTGCCTACCTACCTACCTACCTACCTACCTACCTACCTACCTACTTACCTACTTACCCAATCATCTGCCCATTCTACCCACCCACCTATCTAACTAACTACCTACCACACTACCTGTGGGGATTGGCCTCGATTTTGGGGTGCCTCAAAATTCATTAACCGTTAAACCATTCTGTTCAGTGAGCTGTGCTGGCTTCGAGGAAAAAATTACTTCTTTCATCCCTTAAGCTGGAAATTCTTACACTTGGACTGAGACAGAAATCGAAACGACATCGACCTTGAAATTACATTGAAATTGAAAAGACATTAGAATCGAAACTACATTACGGCCACGAGAAACGTCTAGTTCAGAGTCCATTACCAAAGGGAGAGAGGGGGGGGGGTGAGTGTGTCATGTATGTGTGAGAGAGAGATAATGAGAGAGAGAGAGAGAGAGAGAGAGAGAGATAGCGAGAGAAAGAAAGAGAATGTTTGTGTGTGTGTGTGTGTGTGTGAGAGAGAGAGAGAGAGAGAGAGAGACAGAGAGATAGAGAGACAGAGAGACAGAGAGACAGAGAGACAGAGACAGAGAGAAGAATCTTATAAGGCTGAACTATCGCACGTTTATGCGTGATAGTTTGAGGTATGAACATATTTCCCCTGTCTGGATAGTTCTCATCTTCTGCACAGTCAGTTGTTTTCTCACGAAGCTTGCTGGCTCCTCTGTCTTATATTAATTAGATCCTTCAATGTGGGGTTGCAAAATACTGAGGGCGTCGGTGGCCTAGGAGTTAGGCTGTCGGACTCGCAACCGTAAGGTCGTGGGTTCGAATCCCGTCAGGGGCACGACGTTGTGTCCTTGGGAAAGGCACTTTGCACGAATTTTCCTCACTTCACCCAGGTGGAAATGGGTACCCAGCTATAGACAGTGAAAGATCTTGTCAGTTTGATAGTGTTTGAGCGCGTGAAATCCGCTGCTTGCTCTGTATGCTTCC